GGGGGGAGGTTAGGGAGGTGGTTTAGAAGATATGTCGGTGGTGGTTACCGTGAAGATATTCGAAGGCTAATACAATTTCTGCGGCGTAGAACCGCGCATGATCCGTCAGTAATCGCCCTTCCGTGCGTAGATGGCTGAATAATTCTCCCCCATTTACGAATTCCATAAGCATGTACAACCTTCGCTCATCTTGAAATGAGGTTATCAAATTCACAATAAAAGGGTGCGAGATTGCTTGTAGAATATTCCGCTCGCTCTTGACATGTTCTACTTGCTTTGTCTGAATAATCTTGGACTTGCGCAGAATCTTTAACGCCATGGGCACTGAAGGCCCTGATTTTAGTCGAACCAGCCTGACCCGTCCAAACGTGCCTGTGCCGACGGTATTACGCAATTCGAAGTGCGACACATTCGGCGGCCTCAGAGCGAAATGCCGTCGTAAGTCCTGCACTACCGAACGACTCTGAGGACCGCCATCGGCTCCGTAGCGCTGCAGCGGCATATATATGTGGCGACAAAATAATTAACTACTCGCGGAAATTCGGTGCCAGCCACCCTCCCGAGGGGTCCATTCCTGCACCCTCCTTCCCCCCACGCCCTTGCCCTATGGCCACTCCTTGCCTCATGCCCGCCATCCCCCGCCCCGACGAAGCCTCGAACGCCTTCTTGAGCACTGTCCGCGGATCTAACGCTGAGAAATGCGCCAGAGCCGGCGACAGGAAATTCACAATCGACCCGCGTCTGCGACTCCCCCGCCCAGATCCTTCAGCCCCTGCAGCTGCCGCGGTCCCAGCCACTGGCGCACGCGCCACCGCGGTCGCCAGATGGGCCCGAAGAATTCGCTGCATCAAACTCAGCACTTTCTCAATGCCGCCGTTTGGCCTCCGCTTCCGAATCACCTGGCGCAACAACTCCCCCCGCGTCATATTCTGTCCACCGCCACCGTCGCCGCCGCCGGTAGTGATACCGCCGATGGTACTGGCACCGCCAGGGTGACCAACAGTCGTGCCCTGCCTGCTGAGGCGTCGCGTACCGGGGCTTTGCCTAGTCGTGCTTCTCTTTTCTTTCGTGATGAAAGGATGGTTCATCAAGGCACTGGTTGTGGGCCGCACCACGGGAGATAACGCAGTGCACAGAGCGATGAAGTCGGCACAGTCCGAGTCGACCAGTTGTTCGGCCAAAAGTTGCTTGAGCAGGGCCGTCCAGAAGGCGGGACTGGTCACGTACCGGATTTGGTCGCCGAGAGGCATCAGCGGGGCGTTGTCCACACCAAACAAGTTCACTAGCTGCAACGGCGTCCAGCCTAACACCAACTCTACCGTCAGTACGCCCAAAGCCCAGACGTCGAAGGCGGCACACGGTCGGTACCAAGTCACCGGCTGCGCAGCCACCGCTTCGCGCAGACCCTCGATGTCCAACACACCACGGGACAATTGCTCTTCCACCAACTCTTCGATGTTTCCCCCACATATGCACTCGGGCGGAATAGCCGTGATGCATCCATAGTAATTCAGACCCGCCGCCGGCATGGCAAACCGTCCGGTACGGCACAAACTTACGGCCGGTAGTCTCGAACCAGTTACGGAAGGGGAGTACCTCACGGATGGGGACCACGTCACGGACGGGGACATCTCGCTGTCGATCTCACTGAGCGTGCTACTGACTTGGCTGCCCACTACCGTGCTCACTTGACTCCCAAGCGGGCTGCCCGGGCCTCCACTGGCTTCGCTTCCCACCTGACTAGTGAGCCCTCCGACAGAAGGGCGGGGTAGACCAGCACTATTGCTCCGTTCTCGATAAGCGACCACTGTTACCACACCATCCCACGATCGCGACTGCCGCAACTCACTGACCCGAGATAACCCATTTCCTCTAATGACCTCATCCCCTGCGTGGGTTCTGGATGGGCTGTGGCCGTATGCTAGGGGCAACGGAAGGTCTTCGCAGTCTCTGGCGAAGGTTCTGCACGGGTCTACGAGCGTTGACTCTTCGAACGCTGTTGAGTTTTCGAGAGGTGATTCTTCGAGAGGTGAGTCTTCGAGAGGTGAGTCTTCGAGAGGTGAGTATTCGAGCGGCGAATGCCCGACCCGTGAAAGGGAATGGCGGTGACGCCCACCACCAGGGCAGGAAGGTAGGGCGCCGGAAAGAGGGGCGCCCGTTAGACGAGTGCAGCGGACGGGTCTTATGAGTATTCGTCCGTCGGAGGTGACCATGATTGCGTCGCTGGAGAGCGAGCCGTGTACGACGGACATGTCATGCAGCTCGCATAGGGCGCGGAGTACGCGGCTGACGAGATACGATACCGTGCACGGAGGCAGCATGCCCGCTTGCCGAACGAGCTTCCGCAAACTCACGCTTTCGTTCGGCAATAAAATGGAATAGCGGGGCTTTAGCATCACCCGGTGCATCAAACGGGGACTGCTAGTCGGGCGCCTAGACTGTATATACTTCCATACCTGCAACTCCTCTCGGAAATCAAGCCGGAATTTTGCCTGGTGTTCCGCACTAAACACTTTACAGGCCATCGTACTACCCGCCTTCTCATGTGCGCTAACATCTGCACTCACATCTCTCATGTCTACAAGTGGCTCATAACCTTCTGTACGAACCGTCTCATCACCACAAGTTATTTCCGAACAGTCGGTGGCCATGGAACCATCCGTCGTTTCCAAGAAAGGTCGCTCAATTGTGCTAGAGGGGCTGTCGAACTCGGAGACGGTCTCAGACACTGCAGACGACCACTGCAACGGGCAGGAGGCGACCGGCTCACTCAACTGTTGCTCACTCGACTGTTGCTCACTCGACTGTCGCTCACTCGACTGTCGCTCACTCGACTGTCGCTCGCTCCACTGTTGTTCACTCAACCGTTGCTCCCTCTCACTTGAGTGATGCGCGCCGCCAGCATGACTAGGGCAAACTTCGTACATGGTGTAAAGCAGTTCTTTGTAAATCACCTAATCATGCCGGCGTTGGTCTGTGTCCCGTGAATGGACTCACTCTCGTGACTTTGTAGCTATTCGGCAGAGTGCTCAGACTCCTCGGCAACATGAGGAGAACCTCGGTCTTAAAATGCTGATAAATTAAAAGTGCTCTACCACGCTGTCTGGCGCCCAGCCCAGCTCGGTAGTTGGAGACCTGTCCCAGACCCAGCGCTGGCTACCCCGCGCCCATACCCGGTCGTCAGCGAGTGCGTGTTCTAGGTTGGACAGAACGGTCCTCGCGGGTCGTAGAAGGTTTTTTTGCGTGGGTTAAAAAATGGCGTCTCCCGCTCGTCCTCAGGTAAGCGTGTTTGACCGTAGTGGTAACGTGGCCGGCAGTGTGGCGTTGCCGGAGGTATTCTCGACGGTGGTGCGTCCTGATGTTGTACATTTTGTGCACACGAACGTTGCCAAGAACGCTCGTATGGCGTATGCGGTTTCTACGGAGGCTGGTTACCAGACTTCTGCTGAGTCGTGGGGTACGGGTCGTGCTGTGGCACGTATTCCGCGTGTTGCTGGTGGTGGCACGCACCGTGCGGGCCAAGCGGCTTTCGGCAACATGTGCCGTGGTGGTGGCATGTACTCCCCGACGAAGACCTACCGACGTTGGCACCGTGCCGTACCGGCCACTATGCGGCGTCACGCTGTGGCTTCGGCCCTCGCGGCCTCGGCTGTTGCGGCTCTCGTTATGGCGCGAGGACACAAGGTGCAAGCGGCTAAGGAGATCCCCATCGTGTGCACGGACGAGATCGAACAGCTACAGAAAACCAAGGAAGCGCACGCTCTCCTTACCAAGCTGGGTTGCGGCGAAGACTTGCTCCGCTGCGCTGAGACCCGTCAGCGTCGTCACGGCAAGTCCGTCTGGCGTAACCGTGTGCACTCTGTCCGTCGCGGACCTCTCGTCGTCTATAACGGCACTCGCGACCAAATGCGCGCTTTCCGCAACATTCCGGGAGTTGAGACCTGCCATGTCAGCCGTCTTAACCTGCTCCAACTCGCACCCGGGGCCACGGTAGGACGTCTCCTCATCTTCTCCGAGTCTGCCTTCAAAGCACTCGCCGACATCTACGAACACAAAAAGGACTACTCTCTACCTCGCGACCTCATGACTAACACCGACGTCCAACGCATCATCAACTCCGACGAAATACAATCCGTCCTCCGAGTTAAGAAGGACGGAGCCAAACCCAAATTCCATGGTGCCACCAACGCCCTCAAACGCGAGGAAGTCGTCAAGAAGCTGGCTCTCAAGAAACTATTCTAACTTTTTCACAACACCAACCTCTCGAGCAGACGCCAACCCGGAGCTGTCGAGTAGACGCCAATATTCCCCGAAATTCCCCCACCCCCCCCTGGGTCAGTCTCGACACACCCCTCAGCATTATCAAATTCATCCCGACATTTTCTCTCGACGGTCACACCATTCTGGTCGGCCTGGTATAATCCTTGTAAAAACGTCTCTCTCCCCAGTGATGCGCGCGCGTTGTCCCGAACATGCCCGGTGTCTTTTGTGTCCCAAAAGACGTTCGGACTGGGACTAACTCAGCACTAGCGAGAAACAGCACTAGACGCAGCATTCCATTGCCTTGGCAGCGCCTTCTTTGCGCGAGGCACTGGTCTCACAGCATTTCAGGAGAATAATTTATCCCTCTAGGGACATATTCGGAGGGCATGGCGGAGACGTTCCAGGAGTGGTTAGATAGCCAGAGCAGGTTGTTGTTGCAGGAGGAGGCTGGCACTGAGTTGGACTTGTATGAATTGTTACGGTTGGAATATCCGTTTCTGAATCCGGAGGCTTTAGGGCTACCGGCGGTGGAGAGTTGGCCTGCGTTAGAGGCGGAGAAGGTTGCGAACATCCCTATCAAGTATGACGGTCAGGTGGCTGTAACGGTAATAATTCTGGAAGCGATCCCTGCAAATCTGATCAATAACGCTCCTCCTGATTGTTTATTCTTCGCCGTCGCCGATAACAGCGCCAGCACCCTACTCACCATCGCCACCGCCAAAACACCCGTCGATACAAAGCTATTGAAACGTGGTACCGTCATCCACGCCACAAACCTCCGCTCTACTGCTCTTCAAGGAGTAGGAACACTCGTACTTACCAAACGATCTACCGTCAAAATACTTGGACATGACATCATGCCCTTCGCCATGAACTTCGCACCTAGAGACGGTCAAAAAGGTGCCTACTAATCACCCCCAGGGCTCTACCACCGTCAGGGGCATATCACGCTCAGGGGCCAATCACGCTCAAGGATCTATCACGCTCAGGGGCCTACCATGCCGTTCAGGGCCCTACCACCCTTAGGACCTACTGAGAAAGCGGATTCCACAATGCGGTCGAGAGTTGCCGGTACTGTGCTAGGGTGACGCCGACAGCAGAAGTGATCAACACAAGCAAGTATTCCAAGCACCTATCCTGCTACCTAGTTCCATATGCAATGTGCCTCAACAAGATAGTTTCGCTTTTCAAGGCGACTTATCCAGGCTGATCTTGGCTCAGGCCGGAGAACAGAGAATTGCCACAACGGCCGACTCAAAACCACTCAAGCGACCAACGATAATTTTCCTTTCCTCGAGTGCTGGGATTTGCCCGAGTCCGGCATGATTTGGCCTAGCAGAAGGTGCAGCCTTCTGAAACGTGTCAACTTACTCCCGGAGCCCACCCTCAAGATCGGTCTTTGGAGGAGCTTCGGGTCGGTAGTCGTTTCGGGCACGGCAGGACGAAGCGTTTATCTTTTTGCGTTATTACTCAACAGTCAAGTGAAGCTCTCCGTTCCATTTACGCAGTTAGAAAGTCATATACAAAGGACCATGTTCCAGCACGACGTTCCCATCCATGGACATGCGAATGCTACCACCAGGTTACCCACCCACCAGGTTACTCACCCATCAGCGCCACTTAACAACTATCGCTACTTAACCACACGAAAAATTGAGCATAGAAGATAGGATAAGATGCAGCATCCGTAGCGGGGTCATGTCATCGGAGCCGATAATCTATCGGAGCCACAAGGGTGGGGGTAGTGGGGGGACGGGTTATTGTGGAGGGTTCGCACAGGATAAAAACACGTGTGTGACTATCGAACACCAACATTAGATTTCCTGAAATGTGTGTGCGTGTGTGTGAACGCCAGACACGATCATGAGTCGCTAGACACACAACCGCCGCCGTCATGCTGGCTAAATGAATCACACGTCCGAGTTCTTTCCCCTTGGGCTGCGCGACGAAGCCTTGGCACCTAATTTACGCAAATTTATACGTAGAGATCCGACATAAATGTCGGTTTCCCCCAGTGACGGGTCAAGGAATAAGCCTTCTGCCGGAATCGGACCGGCGACCTTTCGCTTACTAAGCGAATGCTCTGCCCCTAAGCTAAGAAGGCGATAAATTGAGGGTGCGCGCGCCGCGTTCGAGACCCTGCTGTGAATAGAGTGTAGGTACCAGATGTAAGCTTGGAGGATTCCGTGTCCCCGAGCCAGAGCAACACCGATAGTTAGAAAGCGGAAGCCGGAAAGCATGTCCACCTCGTCATAGAGTCGAGTCCGGCCCGTGTCAGATGAGTGTGTACCACGCGACAAAGTGAATACAAATAAGAGGAAGAAGACCTGAATGCTGGCGGAATAAAAGCAGAAACTTGGCGGAATTAAAAATCATGCCAATAGGAGATGCCTTCGGGGTCCGCTACGAGTGGAATTGTCAGAGAGACTGTATTCGTGGTCAATTGACGGCTGGTTGGGATAAAAGGGGATCGTGCGCGATCGTGTGCATACAAATACGGCGAAGTCTTTCTTGGTAGGAGAACTGAGTGATTCACCAACCCCAATTAAGGGCACCTCAACTCAGGCATTAAGCGTCGGGCGCGTTTCCGCTGAACGAAATCGATGCCGGGGCGAATGGTCCTTATGCCATTCGATTCCTGACGGTAACCAGCGCCATTGGTCGAACAAGAAGCTGAATTCTTTCTCTCGATGGGTACCTCGTCTGGGATTCCCCCAAACGATATGTAATGATCAAGCCACCGCGCTATGCTATTCCCCAATCCGAATAGATCGCTACTCACGCTGAATAACCAACATGCATAGTCGCATTTGGAAGTCATTATAATAGGTAATGATAACAGGTAATGATGATGCAATAAATTTGGACAGACTGATGACCCGTGCGTGATTAATACATTGGACGATCCAGGATTGTGAATGATATGAAGTTCAAGAGAGGACGATAAGTTGGGTACGGGTAGCATATTGGACAAGTCGCACGGATTGTGAACGACTCAGGATGGAAACATTTCACAGTTCATAAACTGAACTCGGGCGGGACCTGGTAAGCCAAATGTGAGGGCAAGTGATGCGCTGTTAATGTCTATAAAAAGTGTGTGCACACACTTCGTGCATGACTAGTATAGAGATTCTACATCAGGACCAGGGAACAGATGTGTATGAATTACAGCGGGCTTGCAGGGAGGCCAGCAACAGCGAGCCCACGATCCATCCGTTGCCAATGTGGCCCTGAAGAAAGCATTTGGCAGAGAGCTTACGAAGCGGCTGGACACAAGCAGTACGGAAGACACGAAGATCGTCGATGGAAGACCAAAGCTGGAGATTATAGATACGAGGCCGCCAGATGACGACGAACAAAAACGGCTCTCGGCGCAATACCGGATGTGGGGTGCCGCAATCCAGGAGTCCCGCCCCGCCGCGTATTTTATCGGTCGAGTGCCAGGCCGTTCGCGAAGAAACTGGAAGAAGAAACTGGAAGAAGAAACTGGAAGCTTCTGGCGTCGGCCAACGTTTCTCACAGGTCTTGGAAACCAAAAAATGAATGTGTCAATAGTGGACGCCACGGCGGATGCCTGGAAGACGCTTGACTGGCCCCCTTACGGCCTAAGTTGTCGTTGCTTCAATGATCCGGTCCAGTACTACTTACCGAGCGTCTGGGAGGTGGTCACCTGAAGCCCTCCCGTCGCCTCCTAGCAGAGAA